TCCAGTCTCCTTGGGATACACGTATGTATTTGAAGGAGAGCTTATATTAACACAGTTCTAATGGAAAATGTACAGTAGTTGGGAAACAAAAAACTTACAGTTCTTCTGTGAACTTTCTCTTCCCCACATGGATGTCTGTAATCATTTGGGCTGGTAAATAAGCTATCTAGCTTGTATTGTAATTTTGTTCAGAACATGCACCGTGAATGAATTTAATATTACTATGTGAAGCCTTTTTTAAACTGTTTTTATTTACTTTTTTATTTTTCTTCTTTTTGAGAGATGCAAGGCGTTTCAGTACACAGTTATGTATACATGATGGGGTTTAAGTGGGTTTAAACCTACTTGAATGAAGAATCAGACTTCCCCCTTTTTAATAAAGGTTACATATTAATTGGTGACAATTATACAGCATTGGCTTAGTCCAGTGGTCCTCAAACTGTCTTTCTCCTGCCCAGTCCCACGGGGTTACTCCTCAATCTGAGAACTGCTCGTCTGGTTTCTCTAGATGCTGAACTTGCTGAAGCTGGGAGAAGGTATTCAATGGTGTTGAAATTCCAGATTTGAATAATTGTTTAAAAGGCTTGCGTTGGTTCTTAAGTTGATAAACAAATAGATACACAAATAAAAATAATACTTTGTAACTAACTATATATGAATGTATGGAGAGAAGTATTTCAGAACTTTGCCATGCAACTCGGATCATTGTCAAGGGATCAAACTTGTACCAGTTCCCTACTCCTTGCCCAGTGTTTTGGATTCATAGCATTTAGAATATTTTTTAGGTCTATTTCTCAATAGATATTTCACTTCCAAGTGTCATGCTTTCTATTTTTATCAGAAGGACTATCACTGTATCAGAATTCTTTCACAACTGAAACTCTTAACTGGTGTGAATTTTTTCTTTTTGCCTGACACAACTTAGCTCGGTGGGAGGACGTTAGGAAGGCAGAGGGGAGAAATAAATACATTGTGAACTTAAAAATAAAAAGACATATTTTCTTTGTCTGCGTATTAAGAACATTTCATCTTTGCTTCTGCCATCAGTGGCTGTCAAAATATAGCTTTCTGTGGATCTGAGTTTTGAGACTGTGGCGGTCTCGAAGTTTTTGTGAAATGATGAGGCTTTTCAGTTTAAAGGAGGAGGGCTCAGTGATTTCTATTTCAAAAGATCAGGAATGTAAGAAAAAGCTTTCATAGCTTCCTTAAATTGAGAATCTGCTTTGGCTGCTCTTTGATTTTTCCAATATTACCGATTTGTTGTTTGTGTGCTGTTTTATTCTTGAAAGTATGTTTGCTTACTTCCCATAACAGATAGACAAAGCAATCTGTTTTTCTTATAACAGGTTCTAGAGGCTGTTGAGAGAGGTTCTAGGTTGAGAGAGGTTAGAAACAGGATTCAGAAGGGCTCCCAGCTTTGTTATTTCCAGGCTGAAGGAACCTAGGATTGCGGCATGGTGATAATGCCAGTGCGAGTCTGGGGAAAATTGTCGTTATGTGCTTTGAGGAATAGTTTTTAATTGTTCCTCTGAAGCAGATGATGTGGAAGCCTCATGAAAAGGCACACCAGATCTTTCCCAAGCAGTGTTTTTGACTTTTTAAAATATCCTACTTATTGATACGTGTGTGTATATATCTCTCTGTGTAAATAGAAGGGTTTATATACATGTATGTATGTATGTATATATACACATATATAGAACTTGACCTTTTGCCTTTTTAACTAACGGATTGAGGCAGAAATGTTAAGTTTTTTAAGACGAGATCATTTCATGTCTTGTTTGGATATTAGTCGCGGCTCTGGCAGTAAACCAGTTAGGGTCATTCAGGTCAGCTCTGTGGCTCTTGACATTACTATAATTTTTCCTTTGCTTACTTTTACACTCCTGACTGTGTATTTATTTAACTAAAAATAGGACTTCCCTCACTTTCGTAAGGAAAAAGGAAAGAAAATAACATCATTCGCAGGCAAGCTTTTCAGCGTCTAGATGACATACATGACCTGAAGATCATCTCTGACTCAGAGACATCCTCTTAGTCTGTGGACTGCTGTGCTGTGTTATGAGGAGAGTAGTTCATCGGTTTGCATTGGTCGTGAGGAAAAAGTGGCATCTCTCTTTAAATATAACTTTAAAGTTGTCAAGATTCAACAAGAGTTACAGACCCCTTGGCTGCTGTTTTCCACACCCACATTAGCATTTTGTAATTTAGCGTTGTCCCTGATGTTAAGTGCCAGTTTGGGGGATTTGTGCGCGTGTATTGTTAAGAAACAATTTACCCACTGCAGTGCGTTCCAGGAGCTTTACAAGTTGTGGCCCTCTTGGCTATTCCTCTCTCTAAAGAGAATTAAAACAGACCCTTTGGGTTTTTTTTTTTTTACTTAAGCTTGACTTTTATCTAAAGTAAATGCATATATGAATTTCAACTTTGCAGAATGTCTTCCATGTCTTCTGGCTCTTTTGGAGCAGTGGTTCTCACTCTTAATTGTACATGTGTCGTGGCAGAAAAATACATCCGGTTAGCTGAACGCCAACTCTTGCGCATGCATGTAGCTGGAGCTGCAGCCATTGCTGCTTTAGGGAACATATGATAGTACAATGAAGGTTGGAAACCTTTCTGTAGAGAAACTGCCTAGCCACTTGTCCTGTGTCTTGTCCCTGCCATGCAGGGACATTATACCTGTTTTAATTAAGAAATGCTGACCAAACCTACTCAAATAACGTCACTCAACTTTATGCTTTTAAAATGTCTGCTGTTCCAAGTACAGTGCTTTTCTCAGTGAGGACCAGTTGTGTGCTGAGGCTGGGACTTCTGTCCAGCCACTTTTGAATTCTTAGTAAAGAATGGTCATCTTCATTTTCTAAAAAGCAAATACTTTTTTTGTTTATCTGCAGAATCTCAAAATGAATTTTCCTTCATATTTAAAAAAATATTTTTGTGTGCTGCCAAACAGCTACATGTTCACTCAAGGAAAGGAATTTTTAGAAAGTAAGCATTAGTGGAGATTAGATTGGAATGGGAGGAAAGCCTGAAGCTTAGGTACAGGCATAAGCTTTCCTGGTGTGAGAGCTGCAATGTGACTGTCTGTGATCGCATGGATTTCATAGAATACATAACACTGAGAGCAGAATTGAATTCTATTCACTCGAAGTATCTGAAGAGTTTATATGTCTGCCTTAATGATGTTTGTGTTCTGTCTCATTCCTTTTACCATCTCTGATGTTATGAGTCAGGGAGAGATGCATACGTATCTCCTGGAGGGACTGCACAATTGACTGGCTACTCTAGGAGGTTTGCACCTCCCTCTTGAGGTGCCCACGAAAGGTTAGTACTTAAATAGCAGGACAGACTTCTGTCACAGTAGTTTGACAGGAAGGGAGATATATTTATATCAGATGAGACCATCAGTCCATCTAAACCAGTACTCTCTGTGTTTCTGTGAGACAGTTCTGAGTAATGTTTGCCCTGCTTCTCCTTTTCCATTTCACCTGACCAATATTCATGCATTAGACCAGGTGGTCACTAAAGCACCTTTAACGTAATGCTTTTCTCTGCCAGATGGATCTGGCGTGACGTGTCCTGTCTACAAATGATGTTAACGTGATTATGAAGAACTGAATTCGTACATCTGTGTGCCCTCTTGAACCCATACAGTAACCCAAAAATAATCTAAAAATAAGATCATGGGTTAAATTCTTCTCTTCTGACAAGCATCTTTGGAAGCAGTGCAGTCCAGGGACAGCCCATGGGAAGAATATGACTTACTATGTTTAAGCAGAACTGACAGAAAACATGTTAACATCTCTGTGTCCCAAGGGATGACTTGAATTTAGTCTTTAGGACAAGGGAAGGAGAAGGTCAGCCGCACAGAGAGAGTCAGCAATGTTAGTACACTGTGCTCAGTTCACCTGAAACTGATGCTGATCAAAAGCCCACTTTTAATGATGGTTCTTCTACATACAAAGATAGTGATTTGTGCTTTGGTGGGAATTGAACCATTTGCAACACAAGGAAGAACAGACAATGGCCTTTCCTGTCTGTTTCCCATTAGACTTGGTTAAAGGCCTTTGCTACCCACAGCCAGTGGCCAAACAATTTCTGTATGTCCTCTATAGCTATTTTGAGGTTATTTGCTATCCTGCAGGAGTGGAGGAAGGAAAGGTTTTAAAAGTTACAAGTTCTTATCAAGTCTGCCTCTCCAGTCAACCTGCTTTTTCTCCAGTCCTGACTGCAGGAACAAATGGCCCAGGCAGAGATCAGACAGTGAATGAAGTCAGTGAACGACTTTGGGTAAATACGAAGATTAGATGTTGAATGAAAATGAGACTCCTCAGACCAGCCCTTTGCACTGAAGTGGTTAAGTGGTCTGTGATTAAAAGAAATAAGTAATTATCCTAATTATAGATGAAAAGATACAGAATTACCACTTTAAAAGCACCTCCTGTGCCCTGGAGTGGTTCTGTTATTTACAAAGTGGTAGTTCATAATTATGTAGCGTAAGCAAGAGGGCACCCTCTCGGTGTAGTGCAGCAGCTCTGTCTCTCTGAGGCGGAGGGTGGTACTGTGCCGGAGTGCTTTGTCCCCCAAGCAGAGCTCCAAAGTTCAAGTCTTGCTCCAGTGAGTAGGATGGTGCTAAGCCAGGAGAAATTGTGGGAACTTTTCTATCTCAGGCTGAGTGCAAGGCGTACTAGAGTTCACAGAGCTCTCCCTGCTTGGCCATGACCACTGCTGGTAATGGCTTTTATGATCACCAGGTTTTAAATAATAAATAAAACAAAGAAGCAAACTCTGAAGCACTGGAGAACAGCCCTGGGTGGTGACGTCCTGTCACAATTGAAGCATGGCAATTCTGCCGGCTAGTAACTTATTACAAAACGTTTCTTTACCAGGCTCTTCCTACTTTGGGGCAAAGTGCCCATATGCCTGTGGGACTGAAAAGTTCAGGACTCGCTGGGTCATGGGTGCTGGCAGGTCCTCTGTGTCCCCACGGCAGTGCAGTGCTGGGTGACGTGTTACGCTCTTGCTCTCCCTGCAGCATCTGTTATTGTGCATAGGAGTTTGGTTTCCAGTGCTGTCAGTCAATTCAGTGCCACTCATAAGCCCCAAATGCCCCACAGGCTGTTTGTCAGAATGTTCCTATTAACAACTCAGTGAAAATAAAGGGTGAGGGGAAGAGAAGGTGGAGAAATAAATCTTAATTTAAATCTTTTGAGCTGGTTTTATTTTAAATGGAAAGTTGCATGCGGACCACCCCAAGCTATTGTGCTGTGGACTGCGTCAGCTGCTTGACTGTGCAAGGAAGATTGGGGTAGAGGTTAAGAGCATCACACAGGGGAAGGGTGCACTGGTTTGCTTTTGTGCTGTATCCAGGAAGTTTGTAACTCAGTATGCAGTTGAAATGCATTGACACACGTGGTAATCATTATAAGAAGAGAAAGGAACATTGAAATACGACAATTTGCTGCTCCCATTCTGGGGATTATGTTGGTTTCTGACTGTCTTGTAGAGGTAGAGACATGTTGTAGGGGGGTATAGGAAAATGAAGGGCAGATGCTATCCTGGAGTGCTCTGAGAACTGTTAGCTGAGCTTAGTGCAGTACCTGTTGTCCAGACACCTTGTATCTGCCTACCTAGTGTATGGCTTCAGAAGGGTGGGTGGCTCTCAAATATGGCAGTAGCGTTGTACTTGGTTTAAAAGAGCTCTTCGAGCAAAGAGCTGCAGAATCATATACCAGGCAGTGCGACGCAGGGAGAAAAGGGAAAGGCTGCCATGTCTTTTGCTGTGGTCACACCACAGATGGAGGTGGGTAACAGCATCCTGGACCAGCTTTTGTTTAACTAGCACTGGCATCGCTAGCAGAGGAAGTCTGTCAGCAGTTCTTGAACGTAGACGGCACATGTCCATGGAGTCCCTTCCTTCCCAGTTTAAGGTCCTGCTGCTCTGTCTTCACTGCTTTGTATTCCAATACATTCAAGTACCAGCCAGTTCATACAGGACTACAACAGCTGTAAATGTATCCCCAGGTCGAGTGGAGCAATAGCAAACAAGGGAAGGGTAAGGTAAAGACTGCAATGGGGTAGGAACATGGAAAATGGAGGATGCAAATGGAAAAACTCTGTCTCGGGAAGTTCTGAGGCAGAACATTGGTGTCGCAGCAGCTTTGTGGCTCCTGTATCCCTTTTTTTCTTAGAGCATTGCCAGCAAGCTGGCCTGTCTCCCAGGGCAGTGCCAGTCTCCATTTCGGGAGGCTTGCTCCTGTCCAGCCCTGCAGAGCCTTACCAATGCATAGTTACCAAAGAACAACAGGGAATCTGATGTGGGCAATGTGTTAGAAGAAGGAAAGAGTCTTGAGGAGTTGAGTAATGCACATTTTTTCCATCCAGCGTAACTGTTAATGGTAACCTTTATTACTGAAGTGGTTGAAGTGACTAGAATCTGGTTTGTTTATTGGGAGTATGTGCATGGCTGTATAGTCTAATGTGATCGAAAAAGGAAACTGATAATAAGGGAAAAATACATCTATGGAAGCAAGTCAGGTGATGTCTCTGTGTAATTGTAATTCCAAGTAGCACTGCAGAGATTAACAGCCTGGCAGCCTTTTCATCTTAAACTTTATTTTTATAGGGGTTTATAACTTGGCACTAAAGTCAGGAGTGGGTGGAAACTTGGCAAATGTGGTTCAGCCCAGAAAGTGAATGTTATTTATATTTATTTCTCACCAAGTTTTCAAAAACACTTGGTTACTGTTTTTGTGTTCTAACAAGTAGTAATTTGTTGGTTTCGGTGACTTATTCTCTGTGTGTCTCTTAAACTACAAAATAGTTCAGAACTTATTTCAGCTTTTCTGAAACTCCTAGTGGAAGGACTCTAGATTTCCAGGGGTGTAAATGAAGACCGAAAGCAGTTCTTGTATTTTCTTTTAGCAGGTTGCTCCAAGTATTTCTTGTACACTGAGCAACATCTTTATTGTATTTACATCAGATTAGTTCCTGATTGCCAAGTAGCTACTGCACCTTTGGAATAATTACATTTAGTTTTGCTGGCAATTGTGTGAATTTAATGGCATTACTCAGGTGCAGGCTTACCGCAGAGAGGCTGAGGAGGCAATAGTTAGTATGGCCATGCGGGCTCTGAATCGTCCGTGTCACAGAACGTGGTCTGGGGCTGAGATAAAGCAGCCCCTCTTCCCCGCTCCCCTGCCCACACATGACATATCGACATCGGGTGCGTCCCTGGTATTAACACTGCTCATATTTCATACTTCACATTGATTTCATGCCTGTTCCTAAAGCCAGAGACTAGTGATATAGAGCCTTCTGTACCTGATTTTCAGGGAGGCCTACTGACATCATGAGGAGTGGCATTTGAATAGGGATTTTCAATATTTTCAGCAAACCGAAATACTGCGTTATGTCTCTGGCAGGCTGTGAGTAACGTAGCAAAATGGTCATTTGCTGACAATAGTGTTTGTGTATTGCGCGTATTGCATTGCATTTCGTAGTTGAAATATACTGCACAAATAAGCAGTTAGTTAGAAAATCAGTTGGGTTGAAACATTGGCTTTTGTGGAAAAATGGAATTCATAATTTTCTTAGAAATGCTTAATTTTTATTTTAAAACTTTTTTCAAAGCAATTATTTTATAGAAGGTTAAAGATGTTGTGGTTTTTCCTTTAAAAGAATGGGAAGAGTGAGTTAAAATGTCTTAAAAGAAAATACTGAGGACTAATTCACCTAGTTGTAAAATTCAGTACTTGTGATGTTCTGGAATGACAGCTCTAAAGATAGTAACTGTGTATGTTTGTGTGTGTTCAGGGCATGACTCCCTCCCCAGTGAGAATTCAACCCTCTCCATCTGAGATTAACTCTGGAAGGTGAAAAGAGCTGTCTTTCTATTTAGAAGGAAACAGAGAAAGTCATCAGTAAACTGTCATCCTGAGTATTAACTGTGTAAAGCTTCAAAGCTTTATATAGATTAAGTTTTAAAAAAGAGTTCAAAGCCTTGTACAGTTGTTAATCATTACACAAGTTATAACAGTATTATGGCATTTATGAAATAAATCCTGTCTTGTTACTTGCTGAGAGCAATACAAGGGTGAGGTAGTAGTTTTCTAGTTGTATGATATGCATCCCTGAACACTTTTCTGTCAGATCAATATATAAATGCCTATCCAACTGCATGTAGTGAGGCTCATGGAATCTGCAACCTACTCTAAAATGACTTCTGATTACTTAAAATTATCTAAGTAATAGTTCTATTTATGTATTTTTTACACTTCATTTCCTATTTCAAATACTACTTTTAGAGGAAATTTAGCTTTGTAATACACGCATTTAGTTTTGCAGTTACATGAAAAGATACTGCAGTATTGCTGACGTAAGATATTTAAAAGGGACAGTATGTATCTGTATATAAAATTACAGTATATGCATTTGGTTTGTAGTGTTTAATTCCTTGTAGTAGGGTGTCACTTAAAGATCACGGGTCTTTGTTGTGCTAAACAAAGTTTTTTTTCTTAAGAGAGTGAGGCCACTTTCTTTAAAGTGGACATTCATGCAGAGATGCTTTAAGGTTTTTGGACAGACTTATAGTGGTGAGGCTTTGGATATAGGAACCATTGCTTTAAAATTTTCTCATGTGAATCACATGGTTTTGTAGCATGCTGTCACACAAGCAGCTTGATTCTGCTGTAGTGCACCTGGATGAATTGACATTAACAGATATATTTATCCACACACAACGCAAGGTATAGTTTATGTCAGAAAAGATATAGTTGCTGAGTTTGTAATGAGAAGCTGTTCCATGAGCTGCACAGGGAATGATCTGGTTTCCATTGGGTTTGTGTGAGTGGATACTAATTTGGGTTTCTTTCCTTCACCTAGATGCCAATGATTCTGAAACATTCACCCCTTTTAAAAGTTACTCAATTTGGTGACAGATTCAAAAGTTAGTGGCAGTGTGAGTGGAAATGTCCAAGCTCGTTTCTTTAGGAAATGAGGCTGGAGAGGATACCTGCTACCAATTTGATAAGGAGGCTTCCTGAGCAGTGGGTGACACCTGAGAAGTCCAAAAGAATGTTAATTATTGTTGTTGCTTTTACTTTGTGCTGCTTTTGCTTATGTTTCTGTGAAGCTTTTATGCAAGTGCAGAGTTGCAAACTAAAGCGGGTGCTGTTGTGTACAGTCACCTGCAGTAACCCTTACTCTAACAGTCCTCTTGTAAGTGCAAACTGAAATGACAGCAAACTGATTTTTCTCTTTTAATAA